CCGAGGGCGGAGGCCTGCGGGGGCAGAGGGGTGAAGGGCAGGGCGTGGACGGAGCTGGGAGGGCCGATCGCCCAGGGCGTGCCTCCGGCAGAGCTCGCGAGGGGCGAGCACAGGCAGGAAGGCCAGGCCCGCCGCCGCCGGCGGGCGTGGCCGGGGGCCGTCGCTCCCGCCCGCGCCGAGCCGGGGAAGGTCTTGCCCCATGGAGGCCGGTCGCTCTGGCAAAGACCGGACGGGCCAGCCGGGGTCTGTCTTCTCCGGCCTCCCGGGGGCCCTGCACGGGCCCCCCCACATGGACCGTGGGCGGAGAGACGAGTCAGGAGAAGCCGGCCCCCGGCAGCTCTCCAGACCTCCAGGGGGGGCCCACGCGTCGAACGAGCGGAGGCGCCGGGTGTCCAGGTGTGTCGGGAGGCGGTGGCCTCCAGTCTCCCAGCTCGGAGGGGAGCTGACGGGCAGGCGGGGGGCGGGGGCGAGCAATCGGAAGGATGCGGGAGGGGCGAGGCGGAGCACAGCGAGAAGGCCGTGCCTCCCCTCGCCTCTACCTCCCTCCCTCCCTCCCCGTGTTTTCCTCTCTCTCTCTCTCTCTCTTCCCCTCGCTCAACATGAACCCAGACCTCAGGACGGTCCTCCATCAGGCCAAGGGAGCCCCCCCGCAGTGATCCCCACGATAGAGCTGAAGTCTTTCCAGAGCGCCATCATCCAGGGGCTGATCAAAGCAGGAGGCATCAGGCCGACAGGAGCGAACCCAGGACCGAGCTAGAGAGAGCGGTGGAGCGCCAGCTGAGTAATTTCCAGAGGGCGTGATGCAGCTAGCGAGCACCCTCGCCAGATACCCTCGGAAGCTCGCCAACCTCTACAGGATGCACGACAACGGTGTGGAAAGGGTCGGGCAGATCATTTGAGCAGTAGAATTCGTTCGGCGTCACACGTCCCAGGCACTTAGATATAACTGTACGAGTGGCCAACAAGTTGTTTCGAGCATGACGATGCCATTACACACATGATGAGAGAGGACATCCTACATTTTTGAATTGGTAGCCTTCTCTATCGATCTGCAGCTCGACGCGCCCAGTACTTACTGAGACGATCAGTGACATGCCTGCCATGGCCTCCACCAGCCCTGCGGGAACCCAATCTTCGACGGGACCTATTGCTACGGGAGCCCAGACTACGGCTCCAGCATCGAATGCTCCAGCGGCACAGACGCTACCGATCCGCTCTAAGGCGGCGCCGTCTAGGAGGAGAGCAGCCGCTCCTGACAATGTGAATATCGAGAGAGCGCAGCAGTGTCACATCTCGACGGGCAATGCCTTGCGCCAACACCACTCTACGTTTATCGGTGAGTGCAGTCGTGTGGCGAGTCAGCTCGAAATCTTGAGAGCCCAGAGAGAGCAATCGAATAACCCAGTCCGAGGCGACCCTGAGCTCGACGCAATGCGTATTACCACCATTCGGAACATAGACGGCCAGATCAGTTTCATGAATGATGGGTGCGAGCGCCTGCAAGTGTGTCTCCGCATCAACGACGAGGCGCCGATGAGCGTGTATCACTTCGACTGGGACATCACACAGCAGCCAAGCAGCAGTGAGCGGGAGGCGGGGCAGTAGGTAGAGGGTCTCAGCTAGTTAGGCTGAGCGTCGTCCCTCCTCCCCCCCCCTCCTCCAGAGAAGCTTGCTGCTGCTGCTGCTGCTGCTGCTGCCTCTCCCTCCGAATGCCCCCCCCCCCCCGCCCGCGTGGATCTCGGCTGGCCGACGTGCTGGCCCGCGGCTGCGAGCACGCGGTCCTGCAGCCAAGGGCCGCCCTGGGACCCGCGGGGGGGGGCAGGGACGGCCACCTCCTCCCCATCTTCCTCCTCCTCGTCCGCCTCTCGTTTCGATCGAACTCGCTAGACGCCCCCACACCCGTCGCGGGGCTCGCCTCCCGAAGGGGTAGCCTCGCCCCTCCCAGTAGCTGGTGCACTGGTGCACTCAATGCTCGGGCGCCCCTGCCGAAGCGGCCTCATCCTCAGCGAGGCGCTGAGACGAGCGCCGTGGGCTGCATGGCGAGGGATCGAGAAGCGTTCCCCCTCTAGTTTCCACTTCTTTCCCGGGGGCCGCAGGTGTCGCAAGTGGATCGGGCATGGCCCCCAAAGGCTCCACCACCACCACCGCCACCACCACCACCTCCTCTCCCCCCATGTTCTTACCTATGCGACCAACCATCGGCTGATATGGAGGTTGGGGGGGAAAGAACCAACGTCTCACTCCGTCTATATCACGCCCGAACTCACAATCGATCACACTCGATCGATATCACTCGGTCGACATCACTCGACCGATCTCGCGTTGGATCTCCCAGTCGCTCACATTATCGATCCCAGTGTATTGATCTCAAGATGGATATCCTTGTCGTTTTCACCATGTATCTCAATATCGATCTGACGATCAAGACCGCGAAATGTATCACTCGATCGATCTGACTAACGATATCACAATCCATGTGACTATCGATGCAACTATCGACCTCTCTGCCAACATCACTTCCGATCCCACTATCGACATCAATATCGTTCGCCCTGTCGATCTCAACATGGATCTCGATCACACGTCTGACCTCAATATTGATGTCGCCGCACACCATCTCAAACTCGATCTCGCGGTCGATCATACTACCGATCTCGTACTTAATCAACATTGAATATCTCAACCGCTCGCGCTACCGATCTCAGTATCGATTTCAATATGGATATCACGATCACTTTCACCATCAACCTCATTACCGATATGGCCAGCAAACTCACCATCGATCTCAATCTACCGAACTCACGATCGATACCACAATCGATATCAATATCGACCTCACCATCGATCCAAATAGCGATCCCCTCATCGATCTCAAAATCGGTCTCACTATCGCTCGCACTCTCAATAATGAAAGGAAACTATGTTCTACCTTTTCTTGGAACAACGAATTCTGAGGCGGACTCCTCCTCCTCCTCCTCCTCCTCCTCCTCCTCCTCCTCCTCCTCCTCCTCCTCCTCCTCCTCCTCCTCTTCCTCCTCTTAATTATTCTTCCTCGCGCCCTGGATCGCCACCTCCTTTTCCTCCTCCTCCTCCTCCTCCTCCTCCTCCTTTTCCTCCTCCTCCTCCTCCTCCTCCTCCTCCTCCTCCTCCTCCTCCTCCTCCGAGTAAAACAATTGTTTCGCGGGCCCCCTCGCCCCCGCAATAGCGGGGGAGCAGGGCAGGCAGACGGGCGGCTGACGATTCGGGGTTGCCTGGAAGGCCAGGGGGGGGGGGGCACGGGATGGCGATCCAGGGCGCGGGGGCCAGGGGGGTGGCGATCCAGGGCGCGAGGAAGAATAATTAAGAGGAGGAAGAGGAGGAGGGGGAGGAGGAGGAGGAGGAGGAGGAGGAGGAGGAGGAGGAGGAGGAGGAGGAGGAGGAGGAGGAGGAGGAGGAGGGGAGGAGGAGGAGGAGGAGGAGGAGGAGGAAGAGAGGAGGGGAGGAGGAGGAAAAGGAGGAGGAGGAGGAGCGCTTACGTGCCACGTCGTGCTCTGCCATGTTACGCTTTGATATTCAACGCCGTGCTATGCAATGTTATGTTCGGGGCCGCTGTGCGATGCCATGCTTTGCGTTGCAAAGATTTGTGATGCAATTCTTCACTACGCCACGCCACGCCATGCTGTGACATACTACGCTTTGCGGTGTTTTCAACGCCATGCCACGCCGTGCTCTACAATGCATCGCGTACCCTTTCGGGATCATTGCCCTGTTCGACATCCGACTGTGCGGATAGAGAGGGGATCGACGCCATGGTAAGGGATGGGAGGGAGGGTCGGCTGTCATATATGACGCGAGCGCACCTAGCTTGTCCTCCCCCCTCCTCCTCTTCTTCCTCCTCCTCCTCCTCATCCTCATCCCCCACCTCCCGATCGCCGCGGCCGTCCGCAAGGACGACCGGCGGCCGTCCGCAAGGACGAGGGTGATCAAGCGCCTCTTCGAAAACCCCTTCCCTCAACTACTCCCTAATTGCCCCGTCCCCCCTCCGCAATCCTCCCCCCGCGGCCGCGGGTGATCAAGCGAGCAAAGGAGGACGAATAGAAAATCAGTTCCCCCAAAGGGGCAAAAGCAAACGCCGGGGGGCAGACGATTAAAAAAACAGTTTCCCACGGCTGAATTCTATTAGTCCGCCCCACTACATCATTTTGGGGGGTCCGGGGGGGGGATTTTTTTAATCGTTTCCCTGCATGATCGATCTCACTATCGATTCCACGAACTAGATCTCACTACGGGGCACTGGCGAGACACCGACGGGACACCGACCGGACACCGACAGGACACCGACGAGCAACCGACGGGACACCGCTCGGCGGCGCGCCTGGGGGGGAAGTGGAGGGAAAGGGCGCGCCTTCCGAAGGCCGGAGGCCATCTGAGTCTTCTGAGAAGACCTGCCCCGTTTGACTTCCCCCTGGTCGGGGAGACGTAAGACCCGGGTACGGGGGACTCGGAAATCCCCGTCGAGGTCGTCAAAAAAATGACGAGGCCGAGCCTGCACTTTGACGAGGCCTCCCGCTGCAGACATCCCACGAAACTCCTCCTCGTCAAACCCGAGGCGCGGTCGTCAAAAAACGATGGCGAACCCGAGTCCTGGCAAACCCGGGTCTTACGCTTCCCCGACCCTGGGGCTCGCCGCCGATAAGCAGCGGGACATCCCGGTCGCCGCATCCCAACCCCAGGGGCGGGGGCGGACTTATTGGCCCAGCGGCGCCCTGGCCAGGGAAGGGTATATTCCTCTCGCCCGCCCACGCAGCTTCGCCTCGCCAGCACGCAAGACACGAGCACGAGACCGAAACCGATTTCCAGGTGGCGAGCTCTCCTTCTCACTTCGGTCTGACCCCCTCGCCTCCGACTTTACCTCTCTCGCTCCTCCTCCTCCTCTCCTCCTCCTTCTCCACCCAGATCGGCCCGCTTCTGCTGCTACCCCTCATGCCCGAACTGGTGTGGTGCGTCCCTGGCCCCACGTCCTCTGCTTCGCCAGCGAGATCTCGACGTGCCCGTCCATTCGCTGCATCACACAGCGCCGGTAGAAGTCGTCTAGCTGCTGGTCTGGCGTCTGGCGGAGGATGGCGATACGGATGGCAGTGAGAGGGGGATGACAGGGAGGAAGACTCTAGTCCATATGCGCCCGGGCACAATTTCTCGACGTCGACGTTGTCCGCGAGGGCTCGCAGGGTATTTTTCCTACCTGCTGCACGAGTTCCGCCCGACAAGTTCGGCCGCTCGGGAAACGGGGGAAACCCTGGTATACACCCCAAAGGGGCTATCCGGACGCACCCCATATCGAGGATGGACGCCACCCCCATCGTATATTCCCAGGTTGGGCGCCAAATTTCGGGTTCTTCCGAAGACACTACGACGCCTGTATCGGGGATGGATAGAGACCCCCTTAGTAAAACGTGGGACAGTGAAAACGACCTCGGGCCTAAACCTGGCGGGCGCAAGCCTGGAAAATGACGGCCGCGGCGCCCTCTCGAGAACCGAAAACGGATAATTCACTAATCGACGTGTCAAATCGACGTGTCAGGATGTGGGTTATGTCCACTCCCGGCTGTAAGGGTCGCGGCATCCCCTGTTCAGGGCGAGCGCCGGGAACACGAGGGCTGGGGGGGACCAATTCGGGGGCCCGGATCTGGCCGACACTGCGCCGCGTTGTCCCGAAACGCCGCCCGCAGCAGCCCGAGCAGACTGCAATCGGGCGAAATGTCGACCAGCGCCCAACTGCAAGGGAGGAGGGGGAGGAGAAGGGGGAATGAGTGGGAAGACGAGGAGAAGGGGGAGGAGGGGGAGGGGGAGGAGGAGGAGGAGGAGGAGGAGGAGGAGGAGGAGGAGGAGGAGGAGGAGGAGGAGGAGGAGGAGGGGGAGGAGGAGGAGGGAGACCACACACATCAGCGATACTACAACGTCCCAGGCCCCCCCTCCGCCGAAATCCGCGAGTCGGGGATGTATCCATATCCACCACCTGGAAACCGAAGCCCTGGCACCCCAGCGGGCGGTGGGTAAGGATATTCTTTGGCCACCGGGGGCCCGAATCTATCCATATCCACCGCCTGCCGAGGTCCCCGAAAATTGATGCTCCAGGCGGTGGTCATGTGAAAATTCCCGCCTCGGATCGGTTGTTCTCGACGTCGGCCCTCGGGGGCCGTGTTTCCAGGCCCTGGGACCAGCAGGCGTGGATCCAGGGCGACAAGCTGCCCCCGGAGCAGCGGAGGGGGAGGAGGAGGGGGAGGAGGCGGAGGAGGCGGAGGAGGAGGAAGAGGAGGAAGAGGAGGAGGAGGAGGAGGAGGAGGAGGAGGAGGAGAGGAGGAGGCGGAGGAGGAGGAGGGGGAGGGGGGGGAGGAGGAGGAGGAGGAGGAGGAGGAGGAGGAGGAGGAGGAGGAGGAGAGGAGAAGGAGGAGGAGGAGGAGGAGGAGGAGGAGGAGGAGGAGGAAGGAGGAGGAGGAGGAGAAGAAGGAGGAGGAGGAGGGGAGGAGGAGGGAGGAGGAGGAGGAGGAGGAGGAGGAGAAGGAGGAAGGAAGGAAGGGGAGGGGGAGGAGTGGAGAGGAGGAGGAGGAGGAGGAGGGAGAGGAGGGGAGGAGGGGGAGAGGAGAAGGAGGAGGAGGGAGGAGGAGGAGGAGGAGGAGTAGGACGAGGAGGAGGAGGAGGAGGAGGAGGAAGGAGAGGAGGGGGAGGAGGGGGAGGAGGAGAAGGAGGAGGAGGAGGAGAGAGGGGAGGAGGAGGAAGGAGGAGGAGGAGGGAGGAGGGGGGGGAGGGGAGGAGGAGAGGGGGCGGAGGAGGAGGAGGAGAAGGAGGAGGAGGAAGTGGAGAAGGAGGGACCTCGAGGAGGAGGAGGAAGGGTAAGAGGAGGAGGAGGAGGAGGAGAGGAGGAGGGGGAGGACGAGTAGTAGGAGGTGGAGGAGGAGGAAGAGGAGGAAGAGGAAGAGGAGGAGGAGGAGGAGGAGAAGGAGGAGGGGGAGGAAGAGGACCACACATGTCAGCGATGCCACAGCGTCCCAAGCCCCCCCTCCGCCAAAGTCCCTGCAGGAACGCTTCCTCTCCAACCTCGGGAAGCACACCCCCTCTTGGGAAAGACGAGGGCCCCCTGTGGGCCTGCCGACCCGGCGCGATCTGCGACAAAACGCCCGGGGGAGGATACCATCGGGTGAGGAACCCTAAAGGAACGAGGCTGCTTTGTAAGAAGAGGAAGAAGAAACAAAAACGCCATACGTTTAAATTGACTGTTGCCGCTCCGCGCAGATTTCTTGGATCTGCGCTGGACCCCCCTCCCTGGCGCGCGGAGCGCGCCAGGGGCGGCGCCAGAGGTGCCGCTGGGCGGGGCCCATGTTTATGGCGTTTCCTCTTCCTCGAAATAAGGAACGAGGCCCCCTTTTCCCATAAGTCAAGCTTCGACTTCCCATGGAAAGCCTCAGAAAAACCTGGGGCAAGCTGAAACACAATCCAAGAACACCGAGCCCAACGAAAAGGGCTCCATCTTCAGCGCCCCGACTGTAATCGAGAATCTCTGCAGTCCAGCGGCTCTGGAAAATGTCTCAGGCGCCGCGACCTTCTCAGAACGTTCCGGAAAGCTCTGAGAGCGTGCCGGAAGGCTCCGGAAACGGATGTCTCCTCGTCCCATCCCCGCCCGACGATCCCCAGTTTGAAAAGAGGATCCTCCTCCTCCTCCTCCTCCTGTTCCCCCTATATCCTCCTCCAACTTCAAGCCTGCCGCTCTCTCCCGATCTGTCCCCAGATCTGGCCCCGAGACCGCGGGGATCCAGCCGGGACGTCGGCGAGATCGGAGGCTCGATGATCCTCAGAACGTGTTAGCGCCAACGTGTGTTTGCCCACTGAAGCCCTTCACTACGACGAAGGAGATGTGATGATCGACTGGTTGGGTTGAACGGGATAAACACACATTGCGCTAACACAAGTCCTGAGGATCATCGAGAGGCGTCTGAGGCGCCCGTGGGGGAGGTTCGGAGGAGCGGCAGCAGCACGGGGAGGAGGAGCGGCACCAGCAAGACGTTGTGCTATCGCCCTCGCGGGTTCCTCCATCTTTCGGTGCTCCTTCGCACATCCTGTGCCGCGCAGTCTGCACCAAGATGATGAGTGATACGAGTTCGAGACTGGTGTCGCCTTTGATTCCCAACCCTCCCTTGGTTGGGTTCTCGTTTGGAGTGGAGCAGTAGGATCTCCACCTTCTCCTTCTCCTGCTCCCCCCCCCGCTCTCCTCTCGGCTCTCTCGTCCCGCATCCCTCTTGGGGGCTGCAAAGTGTGAAACTGTCGCTTCTTTCGAGGGCTGCTGGGGGAGCCCGCACAGTGGGGCCCCACGCGGACCCAAACCGGACCTCGCCATTCCTAGGGGCTGCGAAAAGTGAAACTGTCGCCACTTTTGAGGGCTGTTCGGGGAGGCGACACTTCTGAATCGCACCAAAAAGCCCTTCCTGAGACTGCAACATCGCGAAAACACGTGACGGCTGCGTCTTGACAGTGCTGAACCGTGCCAGAACATAACTCCGAGCGCTTCAACCGTCCGAATCCTTGAAACTGCTTGTGACGTTGAAGTGCGACTGCGCACATCGCCAAAGCGAGGCAAGTCTTTCGAGGGAGCAGCGCTCCATGAAGGACACTGCTGCTGGCTGCTGACACGAACGTGCGCGGACCAGAAGCGAGAACCGCACTCGAGGAACGGGCCGCCCTCCATTCGGGGATGGACAGACCCCCCTTTAGTAAAGCGTGGTTTAGTGAAAACGACCTGAGGCCCAAACCTGGCGGGCGCAAGCCTGGAAAATAACGGCCGCGGCGCCCTCTCGAGAACCGAAAACGGACAATTCACTAATCGACGTGTCACTGTTGGGGGTTCTGTCCACCCCCGATCCATCCTTGAAGCAGCTGCGAGCTTCGAGAACAAGTGCGCGCGTCGAGTCAGAGGGCCCCGCCCACATACATATATATATATATATATATAAGAATGACAAATGTGGCACAACGTGATTTGGAGGCGCTCGCGCGCGGACTCACTCCCGATGACTTCGCGACGGGAAAGACTGCGCGGGCCGCGCAGGGGCGGGAACTGCACAGCTTCCGACGACCGCGCGAAGAAGGAGCACGCGCCGGCAGGCTCCCCGCTCCTGCGCGGAACCACCGCCGCAGTCGCCGCCACGCGACTCGGCGGACGCACCATGCGCCGCGCCCGCGCGGAGACGCCACGCCCGAAAGCACTGGCGCACGGCGCCTGGGCGAGGGCGACGCGCCGCCCGCTCGCGAGAGCCCCCCCGAAAAGATTGGCGGGCGAAGCGTGCAAGCCGAGCCGAGGCGAGAGGACCGGTCGAGAGCGACAGTTTCGTCCGCTCGCGCGTCGGCGAAGCCGTGCGCGTGTGCGGAAAGGGGGCGCCACGCCCGAGCGGGAGCTCAACTCTTTTGGAACAATGAGCGCGGCGCCGAGGCGGGAGCGACAGATCGACGTTTCGGCCTTTCGCGCGGGATGCGCGCCCCGTCCCATTCTTGCCGCGCGTTCGGCAGCATGGACGGCAGAACGTCCATGCCGAAAGCGAGCGCGTCGACTTTGCACTGTCCTTGAACTGTGCGATTGAACGTCCAACATTGGCCAGCGATCAGCCGGCCTTGTGGCAACGTAGGAGCGCATACGAATAAAGGAGATGGGTGGATGAAGGGAACGGGGGTCAGAGGTTCCTCCTCCTCCCTCTCCTCCTCTTCTACACACCCTCCTTCTCCGTGCCCCCTTGCTTTCCCACCCTTCCTCCTGCCCCTTAGCCGAAACGGCAGTGGGGTCATCTCCTGGTCCTCATCAGCATCCTTACATCATCATTCCTCCTCTCTGCACCTGCCCGCATGCCCTGACAGCTGAAGGCCACACACTCAGCCACAGAGGTGCAAGCAGAGAACGGCCATGGGGCCTCAGAACTCGCAGACGTTTCCGAAGGTTCCCCCGAAGAGGGCAAGACAGCAGCGACCGCCCCGCTCGAGATTACTCACGTTTCCCCTCCCCTGCCCTCTCTGCCCCCTCCCCTGCCCCTCGCGCCACTTCTCGCCCCGCCTCGCTCCCCTGTGCATCCC